ATGTTAAAATTTTGTTTCAGGGAATTTCATATTGAAAGCCAGACAATGAATAATTACATGTTCCCTAAATATGCCAGTGTTTACTTTGAGGAAGACTGGCTAAAAGAAAGCGAATGCCACTGGCCAGGATCTAAAAAATTTCTAAGTTGATCATAGGTACCAAGGAGCAGAAATCACTTTTCAGAGTTTTATTTGAAAGAGAGAGAACTCTACAGAAGACACTGGGTAATTTTGTTGTCATGTCAATTCAGTTATGTTTGACTCTCTGTGATCCCATTTGAGGTTTTCTTGGCAAAGATAATGGAATGGTTTGCCATTTCCTTCTCTAGCTCATTTTATAGATGAGGAAACTGAGGCAAACAGGGTTAAGTGACTTACACAGGGACATATAACTATTAAGTGTCTGGGGCTGGATTTGAACTCAGCAAGAGTCAGGAAGTTTTCCTGACTCCAGGACCAGCACTCTATGCACTTCACCACCTCACTGCTCTAGCTGTGTTATTAAGAACTTTTTAAAAAATGAAATAAAGACACTGATATTTATCATCTCTGTGGATGACATAAACCTTGGAGGTCTAGCTAATCAAACAGATGACAGAATCAGGATCCAAAATGAACCTGACAGGCTAGAATGATGTTTCAAATTAAATAGGCATAAACATGAAGGTTAAAAAAAATTAACTGAGGGGCAGCTAGGTGGCACAGTGGACAGAGCACTGGCCTTGGAGTCAGGAGGACCTGAGTTCAAATCCGGTCTCAGACCAGACACTTGACACTTACTAGCTGTGTGACTCTGGGCAAGTCACTTATCCCCAACTGCCTTGATAAAAAAAAAAAAAAATTGTTCCATATAGGACAGGGCAGATATAATGATATCGATTCATATGAAAAAGACTGAGATTTAAGTGAAATGAAAACTCAAAATGAGTTAACAGATTACCTTGGCATCCCAAAAGGCTAATGTGATCTTGGGCAACAGTAACAGGAATATAATGCATAGAATAACAACAGTAATAGAAGTTCATTTTTACATAAAGTTTTAAAGTTTATAAAATACTTTCCCTATAATAACCACGTAAGGTAGGTAGAAAGATAACAATTTTACTGTACTTTTAGGTTGGTCATACCATATCTACAGTATTGTATAGCTTGGAGTACCAGATTTTAAGAAAGACATTAACAAACTAGAGTAACTCCAAGTGAGCAGGATGGTGACTGGATCTATAAATCACGTCATGAAAAGCATCTGAAGGAACTGGGGATGTTCAGCTGGAAGATGAAACCTTGGAGGGAGGGAAGTGAAAGAAGAATGATAGAGTTGGTGCTGTTATTGTTTTTAATATCTGAAGGGCTATTATATGGAAGAGGGATTGGGCTTATTCTATGAGGTTTCACAGCAGGACTGGGACCAAGGAATGAAAGTTACAAGGAGAGAGATTTCAGCTAAATGTAAGGAAGAATTCTCTAAAAATGAGATTCCTCAAAAATGAAGTGAGCTGCCTCTGAGTTAGTGAGTTACCCAAACACATTAGGAGTTCAAGCAGTGAATAAAGGGGGAATGTCTGCACTAGGTTGAATTAATATAATAAAAATTATCATAATAACCTATAACTATATTCAGAAACCTTAGCATGATGTTCTATGTTTAGGAAAAGATGTTTTCTTTTGAATTACACTTTCAGAAAGGAATGGATTATATGCATGACATTAACAATAATAACAATAATTCACATTCATATTGCATTTTACAGTTTATACAGTAACACACTCACAATAACCCTGTGAGATACTGTAATGTCCTATCCCCTGAATATGAGTGCATTTGAAATCTCTGTCCTGATTTCTTTGTTTTTTTCTTTCCTCTCTGTCTACATCCTCTTTCACAGTGACCTTATCAGTTTCCATGAGTTTAATAATCTTCTTTATGCAGAGATGAGATGGAGTTATGCAGAAAACTCCCAGATTGACATTCACCCTGCATATTTCCATTGGGCTAGAACTAATTACCATATTTTACACAAATGTAACTTGGAATGGTATGAAGGAGAATACATGAGACCACTTCAGGGGATTCATTATTTGCACTAATCAGGACCTCACCACATTCACGGCTGCTGGTTCCTGAGCTCTACTCCCACATCACCAACTCGCTGTCCCACAGGCATTCTGACTCAACATGTTCACAACAGAATGCGTTCTCTTTCCTCCAAAGCCCATTCTCTCTTCTTACCTTCCCTATCTTGGTCAAGGGCACCACAAATGCTTTCAATCCCAATCAGTTGCCAAGTCAATGATTCTACTGCCACAATCCCTCTCACATCCGCTCCCTTCACTTAGATGGTCACCATCCCAGTTCAAGCCCCAAACAGCAAGCTCTTGCCTAGACTACTGCAATAGCCTCCTAACTGGTCTCCCTGCCTCAAGCCTCTCCCTTCTCCAAGCTATCATTCTCACAGCTGACGAAGTGAAATTCTTAAAATACAGACCAGCTCAAAAGGTTCAAAGGTTCCCTATAGACTCCACGATAAACTACAAACTCCTTTGTTTGCCATTTAAAGTCCTTCGTAGTCTGGCTTTAGTTCATCTTCTTTTCAGTCTTGACACATAATGCTCCTTTTCCCAAACTCTATGTTCTAGCTTAACTGATGTTCCTCATAGACAATATTCTATTATCCGTGCTTTGTGTAAGGGTACGTTCCCCCTTCCACTCCCATCCAGGCCCCTGTCCACATATCCCATGCCTGGAATTCATTCTTTCCTCTCTTTTGCCTTTTAGAATCCTTAATTTCCTTCAAGACTCAGGTAGCTTGAGACCTCCTCTGAGACCTTTCCTGATCCTCTGAATGCTAGTATTTCTACCCAAAACAAAGTAATTTCGTTACCTCATGTTTATTTTGTATACATTCCTATTTATTATGGACATATATGTTGTTTCTACCTCAAAAGAATCATTATGTCATATTCCTAGCACCTAGGAGAATTCCTGACACATAGCAGGAACTTAATAAATGTTTACTGATTGAATAAAGTAGCTAAGACAACTATTACCATTCCCATTTTATAAATCAGTCAATCAGTAAGCATTTATTAAATACATATAATGTGCCAGACACTGTGATGGGCACTGGAAAAACTTTGGCTCAGAGAGGTTGTGATTTAAACAAAATCACACAGTAAGGAGAAGAGCTACAGAAATTAAGTTATTATAATGTGAATAATTTTTGTAAAAGAACATTGGATTTGGTGACGAGAGACACAGATTTACATCATCTTGGCTCAACATCTCCCAGCTGTATAATTCTGAGCAAGATTTGGAGCATTTGTATACATTAAGAGTTGGAAGGGACCTTAGGCATCATCAAGTCTAAAGCTCTCATTTTACAAATGAGGAAACTGAGGTACTTGACAGGATCACACCAAGCTAGTGTCTGAAGTAGGCTTTGAACCCAGGTTTTCCTGACTTCCAAGTTCAGTATTCTATCATGCTATCCTTTGCCTCCGTTTTCTCTCCTATAAAATTAAGATGAAAATACTCATACTGCCTATACCACAAGGTTGTCGTGAAGAAAGCTCTTTGAAACCTTAAAAATCTACAGAAATATGAGTTATTATTATAATTGATATAGTGCTTTTATATAGTGCTTTAAAGTTTTCAAGAAAAATTCCATAATTCACATTCTCTAAAGAAGGTTAAAGGGCAGCTAGGTGGCGCAACAGATACAGCACCATGCCTGGAGTCAGGAAGACTCAAGTTCAAATATGACCTCTGGCACTTACTAGCTGTGTGACCCTTGTCAAGTCACTTTATCCTGTTTGCCTCAGTTTCCTCAACTGTAAAATGAGCTGGAGAAGGAAATGGTAAACCACTCCAGTATCTTTGCCAAGAAAACCCCAAATGGGGTCACAAAGAGTCACACACAACTGAAAAATGACTGAAAGACAAAAAAGTTTAAATTTCACAATCTATACTTCTAAATTATTCGAAGAGAGAAGATATGATTTCATCCTTTATGCCTTGATATCCTCATAACCTAGCACAGTACCTAGCACATAGCAGGTGCTTAACAAATGTTTGTAATAAGTTGATTAATTCTCTCACTGATACATTGTCACCAGGAACATGTTCTTAAACTCAACTTGTTGGCAAAATCTTTACAATTATTAGCTCCATACTGAGAGATCCCTAAGATTTACAAGTCCAAGGAAGTTAGACAAAGTAAAAGTACACAAAATAAAGTCTACGAAGTAAATAAATCCTACACGGACAAGGATTGTTACAGGACAAAGCAGACTGAATTAAAGTTCTGATGCCTTCAGTAAATCAATCAACAATCATTTATTGACTGTGATTATTAATTATGTGTTCAGGACATATATGTGTGGGGTAGTAGACAGAGTCCTGGACTTGAGTCAGAAATACCTGCTTTCAAATCCCAACCTGGCACTTACTCACTAAGTGAACATTGGCAAATTACTTAATTTCTCTGAATTTCAGTAAACTCTTTAAGACTTATCTTGGGCAGCTGAGTAGTACAGTAGACAGAGCATTAGAACTGAAGTTAGGAAGGGCTCACTTCAAATCCTGCTTAAGATAATGACTAGCTGCCTCAGTTTCCTCATCTGTAAAACGGGGATAATAACAGCACCTATCTCTCAGGGTAACTGTGAAGATCAAGTGAGAAAATACACGTAAAGCACTTTACAAAGTTTAAAGTGCTATAAATGCTAGCTGTTGTTATTATTATCTACTAAATTATAGATGGTTTTCTATCTCTATAGGTAGAAGGAGACCCCATAACTACTAATTCACACATTACTGACGATATGCCTAACACTGTAATAGAGACTGTGGTAAATATATGTATAAAAATATGATACAGTCAAATCTTTCCTTTCTATGGGCAAGTAGTGGAATTAATAGTAAAACTCCATTTTTTTTCTTTTCAATTCATCTGGTGTCTAGAAAGAGATCCAGCTAATAAGTAAATGTAGCAATCTACCTGCATCGTCACTTGGGGGCTCATTATAATTAGACAGAGGAACAAATTCCTTATTTTCAACCATATACTTCTTGGCAATGGGCAGGGACATCAGCCTGATATGATGGATCAGAGAGCGCCAGGTGTGAGCCCCAGAGAGCACTGGTTCAGGTGGTAAAGGGCTACAGGGCTGAATCACAAAGTAGGCAGTGAGCAGGGTTAACCCCAGTGTGATCAGGACCTAAAAGAAAAAACAGATCAATACATAATTGTTAATGTAGCATCTTAAACAAAGATCTTAAAATGCAAAGAAATGGTTATTCTAATGATGAGTTCAGGCAGGTTTACATTCAGAGTATAATCTTCTATCATAGATAACTGTTGGACAAGACACATCAACTACACCATTTCTCTCTCACTAGCAGGTTCGCTTTTGATCCGGTTAGACAGGAAGACAGGAATGGAGTCATAATAAGGGGTTAAATAAGCTTACTTTATTCTAGTCTAGTCTTCTCAAAGGGAGTTTGCTGATAACGGGAGCACCAACCCCTACAGCATTCCCTAACAACGCTTCTCACAGGGGCCAGCGTGAAGGGGAGGCAACTTCTCCTCTGTCTCAATGGGGTCAATTTAGACCAGCACAACTTGTGCCCTCCCCTAAATCCCCTTAAGCCTGATGGGGGCCAGTTGAGGCAAGCACACAGACTCCCCCTCCCAAGCCTTGATGGGGGCCAATCAAGGCACACACAGCATTCAGTCTGCACATTCACCCCTATGGGGGTCCCCAAGTCACTGACCAGTGTCCACTTGCTTTATAGGGCAACAGACAAAGAAGGCGTATTGCCAGCAATAGCCTCACAATTTTACATTACTTCACCCCTATATCTACCACGACTGCGCAGTAGAAATTGTTTTGAACCAGCATCGTGAGAACTCATATCTTAACACCTGGGAAGTAGAGACTGTTATGGCTATGGATCCTGGGAAGAAAATTAAGAAAGAATAACAAAAAATCCACTTTACATACACTGAAATTCACCTCACTTACAATAACTCATTCATTTGGGGAAGGGCAGTAATTATTTAATTCTTGGCATATATTTTGTTTTGACACAACAAGCACTTCACAACCAACATCCCAATGATCCTTCCCACAAAATAATCCCCCCTGAAGTCCCAAGGAAGAAAAGGTGCCTAATAATTTGATTGTGACTGATACTAAAGGTCATTTTCCACTTGTAGTTTACCAATTGTTAACAGAAAAGAAGGATAAAGGCACCTCATTTAAATCAGCCCTCATAAGACTTTTAGATAGGCATTATTTTAACTACTGAATATCCCATTTTAAGATTTGATTTTGGACAAATTTATATCACTATTCACAAGAACCCCC